TCATTAGAGATTAGGATACCGCTTGTTAATAACTATTACTAATCGCCGCACATGATGACTATCAAAGCTGCTGGTCCAGATCGAATACAGCTTCCGTTTTGTTTATGTTTATAAATAATTGGGAAAACTGGATGACATGCATTAGTTTATATTCGTTTGATGTACGATAAAGTAATTTCATTGTTATTTCAATATTAAAATATTGTGAGTAATGTCGTTAAGAGATGAGTTTCGATGAGAATGAGATTCACATGCCTATCATGAAAATGTCTGTACATTTTAATAAACATATCTTACCTTCCTTGCAGCGAAATGAGATTACAATTTAATGCTTTCATTATTAAATTGCTTTACAACGCAGTACATTATAGTACAAGTCATAATTTTATTATATTTATATGCTGGCGACTATTGTGTCTCTTTCATATTCATTTTCCACAACTTAAAGAGCCGCTGAAACCTGATATATGCATTTGTACGACGGTATAAAAAATGAAATAAGAAGACAAGCAGTAAGTAAGTAAAAAATTTACATTCGGCTATGACCGAATTCTTAATGCCCATCTCCAAAATAAATATGTTAATGCTATGAATAAATCAATAGGAAAATAAATAAACTATAATATTAAAAATAATCGATTAGAAAAAACAAAAAAACAGGAATAAAGAGAGAGCTAAATTTCGTTACCCAGACTATTTCTATTTTCAGACAGGCTCTAATAGGATCACCTGTACTGTAGTAATAAGCAAAAAAACTCAGAAAGCGCAGAAGTGCTCTCAGCTTATGTTGTAGTATAAGTGTGTCCTTCGGCCGGTTTGCCCTATCTTCAATGCCAAACTGTGTTCAAGGACTCCCAATGATTTGTGCGGCCAGGAAAATGCTTAGTACCAAGAGGTCATGCCTTGCTATATTCAAAACTTCCTGATAACGTAGAGCATATATATCTTATGTAGTCTATGAAGCTTCGCTCTAATTATTGCACAAACGTTCAAACAAAATGAATACACCCCCATCCCCCGATGATGGGCATTAAAAAAAAAAACAATTGAATTGTTGAGGGAAATAAAGCGAAATCGACAGCGTACAGTTGAAAGGAATGAATGAATAGATAAGTGAATGCAGGAAATTTCGCAGACATCGCAGCATTAAAAATATCACAACAAACGCGATATTATGTGTGGCACGTTTACATCAAACGCTTTAATTAGTTATTTATGAGCAATGATTAATTAAATTAAATATATATATATAAAATATTTATATAATATGTTGTGACCATATAGTCAATTCAATACATAGTGCATTTTGTATTTTAAATAATATTTCAAACGTTTTAATAAAAATTTGAGAACACACTCACAAACTGAAAGCGATTTCCTTGCGCTTTACTCAATGAATCGAAATTTTATGATTTTTAACATAAGTGAACTATAACCACAAAATAAGTATTTATTTATTTTTTGTTTTATTTTGATTTTATTTTTTTAACTCATAACGTTTTTCATCTTCTTGCTGCTTCTTACGCATCTTTCATTGAGTTTTAAAAAATGTAAAAGGGAAAGTTGAGCCTCGCGTTCGTGCAAACTGAACGTTGTACGCTGTTTAAAGTTTCTATTATTGCATCAATTAATCTTTCATTAAATGCATTTTAATTGATTTACAAATGCCTGCGAAGCTGCTATTATTTATAGATTTTCATCTTTATTTAATTTAAGAAGTTTTATTTATGTTTTAGTTATGTATAAAAATATTTGAAATAAATCTTTTGATTTATTCAATGATAACCTAAATAATTTCAGTATATTAACGAAATTAACCCTTAACGGAGTTATGCGCCCGCGTAACCAATTTATGCATTAACGAGTTGTGTATGAGAATATTTTAAATGAAGAAGTGAAGAGTGGAAAACGAAATAATTTAAGAATATTCAAAAAGTTAATCCTTAGCGAACCGATGCCGTATAATATACACAAAGGGTACATCGCACGATCCTTGGTGATTACGAGATCATTGAACATAAAATTGAAACGCATAGCGATTTGAATAAATTCATTGAACCCACATATCGCCCAAGTCGAAATTAATTAAAGTATGTCCCAAAAAATCAGTTATCATGTCTCCCTACCTTCATCAATTGATGGCAGCTGCTTGCTCTGAAATTTTTACCCCACAAAACACACCCAAAACACGTAAAAGTTCTTTAGATCAGACGTTTTCCCCTTATAGGAGCAAAGGAGCAATAATCCTTACTTATGAAGCCATTCAATTAAATATAAACTTTATCCTACTTGCACGAAAGATAACCGCGTTTTCTTTTGTAATTAGCTTTAACGCTTCCTATACGCCGTCCAAAACTGTATACATGTGTTGTATGCATATGTCTAGACCGCATACACGTACAAAAAAGAGAACCCACAAAAACAGACTTGAGCGTATTTCGTAAATAATGGCAAAATCCAAATAGTATTTTGAAAACCAAAATGTGATTTAAATCTCAATCGGAATAGTGTTTTGCGTTTACTTTTGTGTTTACTTTCTATTATTTTTATCTGTTATTGTGATCATGTTTTCAATCAATGTGTTAAGCATTTTGACAGATCACCATATTTAATTTGCTTCCATTTGCTATCTAAGTAGTAAAGTAAAAGTAAACTTGAAAGTCTTCCGCAACCGTTAAGGGTTAATCGGGAATTATAGAAATACACGAGAATAGACGACATAAAAAGACTACGGCCCATATTTGTGAGATAATAAGAGCAGTAACGGTCCCAACTGGTCTTACCTAACGCAAACAATAAGATCTGCCTCTAGGAACATTTCAATTCAATCGTAGAGTTTCCCTTTCTTTAATTGGGGATATGTTCTCCAGATATTGATAAACTGCTGAACATAAGAGGAGGTAGGAAGGTGAGCGTGTCCAAGGAAAATAAATTTTTACATTTATTTGCAACTAAGGTCGTGCGTCGGTGTGTTGATTATCGAAAAACGATTGCTAAAGTGAAAGATCAAAAAGGAAGTAAGAGTTACCTTGAGAAAATCTACAAACAGAAATGTCGTCGGTTAAGTGAGATTTAAAAAGGAATTATTTCTTTTGCGTTCCCTTAATCCTTACTAGGATGAGTAACCTAGTGGATCCTGTTTGCGAATTTATAAATTACTTTTATCAACTCAACTAAAACAATGGCCGTTTTTCAATTTGCTCTTCAAGTCACGTCAAAAAAACATTTCGTTTGGCTTCGGTGTCGTTTCACGCCACGTATGAAACATAAACATGCATAAGTGCCGTACTTTACTGATGTAATAATTTCTTCGAAAAAACAATAATCTCAAGCTTTTAATAGCATAGTCGTAATTAAATTAAAGTCAACAGAAGAAAAGAGCTGTAATGCGAAGTATGGTAACAATACAACACCATAATCAGGCAAAAGAAGAGTTAGAAAGGAAAAAATGCCGAATATGAATAGAGGAGCAGGGGAATATAAAGAAAATGGTGCAACAGCAGCCTAGAAGTGGAACTAGACAGATTTTAATTAAAAAATAAGTTATTTTACACTTTCGTTAAAACATTCATATCCTTGAAAAAATTTTCAATATACAAATTTTGAAATGAGGGAAAGGAAATGAAAAAAAGGCTTGATAATTAACAAACATTTTCTCCCATAATTAAACTACTATTAAGCAATAGACTGCATTAGGTTTTCCCAACGTGAGATTATTTTACTACTTCCCACTGTTACTCAAGTTCAAGTGTAAAAAAGTACACTTCTCTGTTTGTAATCCATATATGTAGTTGTAAGAAACATGAATTCATGACCTTGAGCATAATGTCTCTTTGCCTAAGCATGTCTACTCGCTTTTTATCTTCACATCAACTCGCTTGCACGTTTGCTGTCTTTCATCTTTCAGTCAATTCACTAAAGAAAATATTGATCTATTTTTCTATTTTTCATTAAGTCCGTTCCGGTTAGCCTTGAGCTCACTGAGTTAAACGAAGTCAATGTGTTTGCAGTGCGGTTTTCTCAACGTTCCCCTTCATCCAGGAAATGCCTGCGCACACTATCACAACGAACTTAGCGTTTGTTAGCCGCCCTGCCTGCCGCTGTAAAAACTTATTCCAAGTCGTCTTTGCCAGGTTGTCTGATGTCTCCATTCTTAAGTCGGACACAAAAATCACTCTCCTCTTTTAAGTCTCTCTGTCTATAAACTTTCCTGACTACTATCGTGCCTGGGCCTGAAGACGAAAAAAGAAAAGATTTTCCACTTATTCGTCTATTACGTCGTCTATATGTGAAGCATTTTAATCGTTAAATCAGCAAAGAAAACATATAAATTTGGTTAACTGCAAAGTTCTACTTGTTTTCTGAAGATTCAAAAATACCTTTTAAATAAGCAAAAAGAAGTTCCATGAATCAATCTGTTCGCTCTCGTCGCTCATTCAAAAATTGCTCTAGAAATATTCTTTACAATGATAAATTTATCCTTACAAAGAGCGAAGAAAATCATTCAGAATAAATTTTCCAATGAATTACCGAAAGATTATGCAGAAATAAAGAATTTTCGCTTAGGTTAATCAGACCTAACTCTTCGACTACTATTTGCTGCTCTTTCTTCAATTAGAATTCTTAAGGACTCAAAGCTTGCAATAGACTCTGACGTTCAATTTAGATTTTCTATATTTGCATATACAGAAGAGATTTTAAAGTAAGCGATCTGTACACACAAGATAGAAATCTATCTACATTTACAAGAAAATTGAAAAGACTTATGGAAGAGGAAAATACCAAAATGCTATGAGATGATTTCCATGTCGATCTATAATTTTTTAATGTCTCCCTAAAATCCCAATGAGGAAAAGACATAAAATACTTTGCAATTTTAAAATATTTTATTAACACTCAAGACTTACTCCAACGTGTTTGGATATAAAAATGTTTCATTTACTTCAATTCGCTTTTCTCGGTTAAAAAATTATTTCCACTTCAAACATAACTGCACTTACCGCTTCACCAGCGCCCTTACGGTTATTTGTGTTAAATCCTTGTGCCGACACCGCCATCAAAAAATAACAGCAGGTGCTAAGCAATATTACAATTGTTAAGGTTTTCATTTCGATTTCCATTTGTTTTCGTTTTCGTTTCGTTGCAGCAATCAAAGTTAAAACTGATTTTGAGCAATTATTTTCACTTTTTTGCTCTTAAATAATTTTTTCACATCAAATATTTTTTTGTTTTTTTTTTTTTGTTATTTTTAAAATCAATAAATTAATTGATTAAATATGCGGTTATCAACGCACAGTGCTCTTAAGGTTTAAGGGAAACCAAAAAGAAGAAGAAGACGAAGAGAAAAAAACCAATGTTTTCGAAAACAAGCGCATTTATATCCAACGGTCGCGTTCAAAATGAAACTAATGTTGTTTGCTGGAGCACTTAACAAAAGCGAATGTTGCTGCTGTACAGAAAATCATACAAATCACTGGCATCACAAATATGCCAACAACACCACAATGTTCACCGACCAACACGAAACATAGTAAAAGTTTTTCATACAAAAAGCAAAAGATTTTTTTTTGTTTTTTTTTTTTTACTTCTTTTTCTGTAATGCGAAGTGCTTTGTGAATAAAAGATGAAGAGACGATGTTGATGTTGTCGTTAATGTCGGAGTTGATATTTGGGTACGGACTCTAGGTATTATTAAAGGCACTAGTGTTACTTACTGTAATAAAGCGTACGAAGCATGCACGCTGTGTAAAATCTCGTTTATAACTGAACCAGCAAATATTTGTGTAACGGCAGTAAGGTAGTCTTAAATTTGAGAGTTTTTATTATTTTTGGCAAAAAGCTAAAAGAAAAACAATGCAACATTTTATCGAAACAAGCTAAATTAAATAAATATGAACGAACAAAAAGAAAACAAAACAAAAAACATCTAAAAAGCTTCAAATATCGCACGTTTACATGCATTTGTTTACGTATGTTCATGTGCGGCTGATTGCATTGCAAATAGTTGTTAGGGAGTATTAGCACTATTTGACAATGCAGCCACATGCGTTTTGCATTGCTAAATCATTTTTTTTTTTTTTTTTTTTTTTGTTGTTGTTTGCATGTACGTATGGAAAATTGTTGTGAAAATGTTTTGTAATTGCTTTTACAAGAAAGAAAGAAAGCAAGTAATGGCAGTGAGAGAGGAATATTTTTATTTCATTTCGAGTTTTAATATATAAATGTTAGCAACATGTTGCTTAATTATTTACATAAAATGCAAACAAACTCTTTTTTCCTGGAAAGGTGTAATCAATTTTTCATAATTTTCAATTTCCCGGCACATGCGAATTCGATCTTTAAGGTTAAAGACTCTGAATACAAAGTGTTATATTATATGGTCAGGGGGTAGGCGAGACAAAGAAATCATTAATGTTTTGACCTGCTATCGATTGATGATGGACTAGTTCGTCTAGTTTTATCGTCTTTGAACTTAAAGCGTGTTCTTCGATATAACCGAAACCGAAGTGAATAATAAAAGTAAGCATTACTTATGGCAAGTGAATCTAATACGTTAAGCCACATCATCGTTAAAAGGGAGTTTGTGAAGTCGATCACTAATTTAATATCAACATTAGGGTAAAAGACACGATCAATGAATAATAGAACAATGCTAAAAAATCGAATTCATAAACAGTTACGTAATGCAATGCTTCAAGTCGTTTTACATAAAAAAGCGTGGTGGGCGAGAGACAACAATTCAATACCTTATCTAACCTACCCTAGAGTTATTCATATAGTAATTTTTTTAAAATACAACGTTATATTGGAAGTGGTCAAAAAAAAAAAATAGTTCGATCCGAGCCCCTTTATTCAGCCTTGGGTCAAAACACCTTGGTGCACGAAAATTGCTTCAAAGTATCTCAATAGTTGGGATTTGCCAATTGAGCACAAGAAAACAACACGGACAGACGGACAGACAACTTTAAATAGATTTAGAAAGTGATTCTCAGTTAAAGGTTGACCTATCCCAAGTCTTTCTGGATGTTGCACACATCGGCACAAACTTAATATACCCTACCAGCTGCAAGTGTTGGCCTTTTTTCAAAAGATCAATCAGACCTTACTATCAAATTTTCTTTCATGCTTTATTATTAAGTCTTGTCAAAGGTTACATTTTTCTATGCTATATTTTTAGAGATCATGGCAAGAGGCGTGCGCAAAGAACTTTTACAGTAAAGATCATTAACTGAAACAGTGTTCAAGAAAGCGCGAATATTGTTGAATACATTTTATAATCACTAGTTAGGCATTAAAGAAGTTGTAGTCAAGAAACAATAATTTTTAACTGTTGCACACACGTCCTAAGGGATCATCGTTACTGAATTATTAATACAATTAAACTCCCACTAGTCTGTGCAGCTGGATGGTAGCCTGTAATGTCATGTTTCTTGCTTGATGTCTAATTATAAAGACAATTTCAAAAGATTGCTAAGCAAATTTGAATAAAGCATAACACAGAAACTATAAAACATAGGAGAAATTGTTCGAGGTAGAAAGACGAAAGAAATAATTTAAACAACGCTTTGAATTATTTCTTTTCCAATCTATTCCTATTTATTATTATGTATGTCAAGTTTAGAAAGCAAAAGTGAATTTTATTTCTGATGAACCGGTTACCATTATAATGATATTCACGTGATTTAAGCATCTTCTTTAATATATTCATTGCACATGTTATGCTTAGGCATACATGTATACACGCGCTTATTCGATTGATTTACATAAATATGAAACCAAAAGTGAAAAACGAGATTTCATTGAAAAGAAATTTGCCTGAGGGGGCATTGTAAGCGAAAAATAAAACTAAAAGTAAAACGGATAATAGTGAAGACGATTATAACAACAATGAAAAGATTTATTTAATGCCCTGGTGCAGTTAGTTGAACTGTCATGAACATATCCAAGATTTTTAACAAAAAGTTTATTGACATTTCATTTTGCTGAATATTTCTGAAAGTGTGCTGCATTTTACGCGACAATACAATATAAGAAACGTAAGGTTTCATAAGCGACCTTTCGTTACTGTATTCCTCTGGAATGCAGCATATCGCGAACACATGACATGGTAAGATGACAAACATAGTTCTTTACTAAAACTCCAAGATGAACTCACATAAATTGATTCACTTGAGATCGGTTGACTTCACTGTGATTTTAATTACTTTGCTGTGAACTTTAAAAGTTTTCTCGCAAATTTAAAAACGAACGAATTGTCACGTTCGTCAGGCAGCTAGGTGTATATGCATTAAGTTAGATATTCCTACAAATCAAGGCAAGTCAAGGTTACTCGTAAGAAAAAATTAAGAAAACTGTATTACAGTTAAGGGCTTTCTCTACGCAAAAAAAGAATTGTTGTCCTTTTGAGACAACTCACTGATCGAGCCATTTTGCTACATTTTCGTAGGGTCTGAAGCACTACTCAGAAAATGCGTGTCCTATCGATGCAGACAACTGATAATCGGGATGAATCAAATTTGCTGAGTAGATCGCTTGCGGTAGCATTGGAATATCTCGAATGTATTGCGAACCGGTTTTGCTATGTGAATTTTTGATTTTCAATAGCAAACGGTTCAACCGTTTCATATCAACCGTTTCACTAGACTTAAGCAGCTATTAACAGAGCAAACTCTTCTGGTTCCACTAAATGCGAAATATCGTTTCCTTGCCAAAGGAACTCAATATCGCGCTGGTACCCTGCCCATGAACTATTGCGTCTAAAATTCTTAAAACAGATCCACTTTCCATACCCAGTTGCAAAGTCAATGCAAAGAAGACTTTCTTTTGTATCGTTCGAGGAAAAACCAAATGCTTTCCCAGAATGCTCCTTGTTTGATATAGAAGTCGAAATTTTTCTCATCAGAAAAGGTATTTTTGCGTTGCGATATGCGTTACGAGTTGCTTATTGTTGCTTGATGTCCAAGCTATAAAAAATGCATAACCTTCTATATACGTGGTGCTGAGGCGATCTAAGTCGAAATTCCGTTTTCATGTTTACTTATCACGCATATAAGCAGTTGGCTACAACACTAAAGGGCTTGTAACTATTTTTTACTACACATATGTAGCTGTGTGCACATAACTTTCCAATCATAGTTTCTTAAATTTTCAAAATTCACAGCCAGTCATCTGAAATGGATATAACAGACGGCTAGCAAAGATTTAGCAGAGAAAAGATTTCATTTGGCCAACAGAATAAAATATTACCGATTGAAGATAGTTGTATTGCTCAGAGTTACAAGTTATTTGACCTCAATTTTATCGGCATATTTACAAGCGGCTTTTTTATACCCGCCTTATTTGCAAGACTCTGTTAAGTTTGAATGAAAAGAAACCCTACATAGTTTTCTTTGAAAGTGGTTTACCTTACGCTAGTTGTCATCCTAACAGGTACTATGAAGTATAAGCGTTGATCATTATCGCTGAGCTTAATGCTAAAATGTACCCACATATCCAATACCTGCTTACGAACTTAAGCGAATAATGCGTTTCTTCACTTTCAGTTTTATTGCCGGCATTATAGGATCTCAGTAGTAGTTGTTGCTCTTTTCTGGTTTTACCAACAGGTTATCATTGACTTTTGGGTGAAAGTCTTTCTCCCTTAAGCTTTTTTATTGCATTTGCTTTAGGTTTACTTTACGTTTACTTTTTGCTGTTGTTATTGGCATTGTAGCTTATTAAATAACAGGTTTTATTATGTTTACGATAAATAAGGTAAAATAGTTTTTTCATTTCCTCATAAGTGCTCGTGTTAAGATTGTGTGGTAAGATAGGATAAAGGGCTTATCCCTTATACACACGCACTCTCTGCATTGAAGAAATTTTATTTTCTAAATCACAGTGAGGCGATACGATATGAAAAAGCATTTAATTTTCATTTCCGTTTTTTTGCTTTAATTGGCAATGCATTAAACGTTTTTCTCCAAAGGCTTGAACATGACTACGATGACCCGATGATATGGATAGAAAGAATAAAAAGAACAAAATAAATTTGAAATAATGCTACCCCTACGCTGCAACCTAAAGCTGACCTCGAGTTTTCAAATATGGTCCGAAGAATTATTATGGTCATGGATTAATAGGCCATAGTATGAAAGGTCCTCCATGCACGAGTGCGACTGCCTTTCTCTCCTAAGTCAGCTGTCATTCAGGATTCATCAAAAAACGGATGAGGCTTTCTTGTGTGCTTTGAAATTGTTTTCATCATTCCATGACCTTTTGTTGTTGTTGTTATTGTCATTGTTGTTGTTGTTGTAGCCTTGACGTTGATGAATGATGGGCAATTATGTTAAAAATTTGCGTTAATTACTGCAAAATTGAAACGATTTATCTTTGGAAATTAATAAATTATGAATTAACATCTTTAAGTTATGTGCGGGTCAAATAAAGCATAAGTTTATACGCAGATTGTCACATTTCACATTTCACCTTGACCTCTCAAGTAACAGCTTTTCCGCCTAATTCTCATATACGATAACATGTATATATCTTTAAAGCTAGTTTCCTATATATCTGTTTACATAGCTAGATCGTTATCAAGTTTTGTTTTTATTTTTTTTTTTACTGTTACAGTCAGAAAATCTATCTGAGTAATAAAATCGTGCTTTTTTTT